TCTCATTTTGTCTGAGGCGACACCCATTCAATAATTAAAGACTAGGTAAGAATTGAGGCAAAAGATGGCCTTCACAAAAGAATCTGGGAGGGGAAGACTCTCAGAATTATCTGTACAATAGTAGTAATATCCAACCCACAAGGTTTTTATGAGGATCAGATGAGAAAATAAATATAAAGCATTGGCAACTGATAGGGAGCTAAGACACAAAAAGTCTTATTCTTCCACCAAAGGCCTCCTTCCACACTCTGTGAGGTTAGCAGGCATGAGTAGAACATAAGCTTTGGTTGTTGTTTAGTCATGTCTGACTCCTTGTGATGCCATTTGGGGTTACCAAATTGGAGTATGGCCTAAAGCAGAATGTATATACCCATATATATGTGTATGTGTATGCTGTGAGAGAATATGTTATTTTTACAGCCTCTGGAGAGAGTATCTAATAGAAGGGAGTAGTTAACTGTCAAATCTTGTGGAGAGGCAAAGGAAGATGGAGACTAAAAAAACCCAAAACAGCGGATTTGGTCATTAGGAAGCTATTGGTGATTTGAGAGAGTGTAACTGCAATAAAATTGTGGGGCAGAAACCAAATTACAAAGAATTAAAGAGAGAGTAGTACTGATGAAATGGAGCCATTGAGAGGAGTCAATGTTTTAAAGAAGTTTGGCCATGAAAGAGATGAGAAAGATAACATGGTAGCAGAAGAAAGTAGAAGAGTTAAGAGAAGGCTTGGACTGAAGAGACTTGAGCATGTTTGCAGTCAGATAGGAAAAAGACAGTGGAGAGGGAAAGATTAAACATGTATGAGTTATATTATAAAGCAGTAGCCATCAAAACTATTTGGTACTGGTTAAAAAATAGAAAAGTAGATCAACGAACAACAAAAAATACAAAACAAATGAACTTAATACTCCAGTATCTGATAGACTCAAGAACACAAGCTATTGGGAGAAGGAGTCTCTATCTGAAAGGAGCTACTAAGAAAACTACAAATAAATTTGGCAGAATAAACTTAGGCCAACATTTTACATCATACGACACAATAAATTCCAAATTGTTTAAGTGATCTAAATATAAAAAGTCACACCATTAAAAACTTATAGTTTAGAAGAAAGTATATGGCTAGATTTCACAATGAAACAAGGTATAGAAGTGATCACAAAAGGTGAAATAGCCAACTTCAATTCTATACAATTTAAAAGTTTTTGATTTGGAGTTTTTTTAATTTTATTTTTATTTTTATTTTTTATTTTTATTTTTTTTAGGCAATTGGGGTTAAGTGACTTGCCCAGGATCACACAGCTAGTAATTGTGAAGTGTTTGGTCTGAGGCCAGATTTGAACTCAGGTCCTCCTGACTTCAGGGCCGGTGCTCTATCTACTGCGCCGCCTACTACACCCTAAAAGTTTTTGTATAGACTAAATCAATGCTACAGGAATAAAAAAGAGAAATGGTTAAATGGGAGAAACAAAGTCTTTGCATCAAATATCTTGGATAGGGGCAGCTAGGTGGCACAGTGGATAAAGCTCTGGCCTTGGAGTCAGGAAGTTCAAATGTGACCTCAGTCGACACTTGACACTTACTAGCTGTGTGACCCTGGGCAAGTCATTTAACCCTGATTGCCTCACTAAAAAACCAAAACAAAACAAATATCTTGGATAAAAGTCTGATAGCCAGTATACATAGAGGACTGACACATTAGTATAAGACTCCAGTAGAAAAATGGTTGAAGATTTGATTGATACACATTCTCCAATAGACATAATGGTAAAAGACATGAATAAATGTTTTCAAAAAGAAGTACAAAACATTAATGATTACACTAAAAAACTCTAAACCATGAATAAGAGAAATACATTTTAAAATAACTTTTGAGCTCCCACTTCACATCCATCAAAGTGGCAAAGATTTTTTTATGGGAGCTGTGATTTCATTGGTATTTGAAAGTGAGGAATGTCCTTTATTAATGTGGCTTAGAACCTTCTCTACAACTTATAGTCTTAGAGTGTTTCCTGGGGCAATGAAATTTTAAGTGACTTGCCTGACTTAAACTCAGGTCTTCTCAACTCTGAAGAAGATTTTCCATCCATTTCATCATACTTCCTTTGTCCAGATGACAAAAGATGAAAATAGTCATTGTTGGAAAGGCTAAGGCATTGTTGGTAAGACAGACACTGTTCTCTATTGATAGAGCTGTGAGTTGGTTCAAGCATTCTAGAAAATAATTTGGTATTATTTTAGAAAAGCCACTGAATTCTTCATATCCTTTGATCCTACAATCCTGCTACTGAGCATGTACCCCAAGAAGGTCAAAGACAAAAATAAAGGCTCCCATATGCCAAAATATCCACAATAGCACTTTCTGTGTTTTAAAAGCACAATCCTCTCTCTCAAAACAAAACAAAACAGAAACAAAGCAGATGCACATAGATTGGGGAATGGTTGAACAGATTGTAGTATATGAATATAATGGAATACTATTTCGATGTAAGAAATAATGAGTATAATGAATTTAGAAAAAAAATGGAAATTGTTGTAAATCATATTAATTGATTCAAAGTGAATTAAATAGAACCAAGAGGAAAAATACACATCCTACCCATGATGATATATAAATAGAAACAACACTACAGGGCAGATTTGCCTTGATAAATTATAATGACCAATCTTAGTACTAGAGAACAGACTGAGAAACACTCCTCTTTCCTGGAGAACTATGGGTATAGATAGCTGTAGGTACCATTAGATACTTCCTTTGTGCTTGTGGCTTTTACTTCAGTGGTTTTAATGGGAATGTTCTGTGGGTTGCTAGGTATATTGGAAATGACTAAAGTATAAAGAATGAAATGCATCAATAACATCTTTTTTTTTTAATTTTTAAGGACTGGACTTGGTATAGGAAAGTCCCTCCACCAGTGTAGATCAGCACCTGCTCTGAAATTTATAGTCTTAGAAAGTTGCCTAGGTCCTCATTTCACATATGAGGAAACTGAGGATCATAGACATTAAGTGACCCAGTACCTACCATGAATATAAGTCAGAAGCAGGATTTGAACTTGGATCCTTTTGACTCTGACATTGACTCTCTATCAACCGACCCAAGATGCCTCTTTATTAACAGAGCTTAGAGAAAAGAAAATTCATAAACAAGTAGGGAAGATAGTTGAAGTAAGGTACTAGGGGAGGAGGTAAGAGGGAAAGGAGTTCATATAGAGGGATCAGTCTTAGAGAGGTATAGAGATGTCTTCTGTAATCAAAGGGCAGTGGTGGAAGATGGTCAGGGGGAGGGAAGAAAAGAAGCACAAAAGCTGAGAGGGCTCATATTAGAGATGGTCTCAGTATCCTCAGTGAAATAAAAAACTAAATCATGTGCTATAGAATTTTAGAATTTTAATGAGCAGAGGTGGTAAAGTAGAGACAGGGAGTATAGGCACGACAGGCAGAAAGTACAGCGTGTACCCTAGAAATATCAAGGGAAGTCTCTAGCTTGGCTGGACCAAAGGGTATATGTCCAAGGAACTGGTAGGGAATCCAGCAATCCAATCAACAAACATTTATTAAGATTTATTACCATTTATGATGATAGGGCTGAATAGGCAAGTTGGAGCTATAATATGGAGGGCCATGAATACCACACTGAGTTTGAAAATAATTCAATGGGCATAGTGAGAATTATTAAGCCAAGTGGTAAAATCAGAAATTAGAGATCATCTAGGCCAAGTGCCTCCTTCCACAGATGAGGAAACTGAGGATCAGAAAAGTTAAATGACCTGCCAATAGCAAAGTTCATTGCTATAGCATTCACTTGTGTTTTTGACAGTTTCAATTACCTTTTGCACGTGGCACCAAGAATCCTAGAAATATGAGTCACAAGAGGTAGAACCTGCCCGGTAAGGATTTTGCCCCCAAATTGATTAGAAAGTCTGGCTTTTTTGTGTTTCTGGCTCAACTCAGGATCTTCTATTCCTAGCATCTCTGAATCACATGCCCCCCTCTTTGGTATGGACCCAAGGACAGGTGGTTCACTATTCATCCTAGACCTAGATTATGCCACCTCCTGGCCCCTGTGCTCCCTTTGGACCCCAAAGCCAACTCAGTAGCTCATCTTGGGAGCTGTTCAGTTTGCTCTGCTTTGATGTTGTTTATCCAAGGTCAAATAGGGTAACTCCATTTGGCAACATCTACAGTTGGATGGGGTAGTGAGAGAGAGCATAGTGTCCACAATTTGGGGTTTGAGAAGAAAGGCAGGATAAGAGGGAGATGCAAAAGCATTTTTAAGGATGGGGAAGCAGATGGCAGGGGCACGTCTACTCAGGAAAGTGAAGGTCTATGTCACTAAGTAAAACCCCATTTTTTCCCCCACAGAGGTAGCCCCACCCCTTGCCAGTCTCTAATTCCAATAAACTACTAGAAGAGAGAATGAGGTTTCCTCTTTGGCAGTAGGTGGAGGAGGAATCAGAGCCCCAGGAACCAATGGTGCTGTCTGGTGTACAAAAATGATCTCAATACAATAATTTAGGGACACATTTTTTGGTTAAAATAGAACTTATGATCATCTTGATTCTTGATTCTACACTGTAAATCTTGACAATAGATGGGTGCGCGCACACATTTTTTTCCCCACTTGCTTTAAAATAAGCTTTGTTTTCCAGCTAATGCCTTAGAAATGAAATCACTTCCAAGAATACCGTCAGTGAGGTGGGGCAGCGGGTCTTGGGAGAAAGAATGTGCGGGGGTCTAGCCCTGGAGGCAGGGGAAGGGGTCGGTCCTAGGCAGGCGGATCCGAGCCGGCTGCGCGGCAGGCGGGCGGGTGGCCTCAGCCGCGCCTCCCCCCCGGCTCCCAGACCCGAGGGCCCGATCACAACCCAGCTCAAACATTTACAATGCGTGTCTGAGGTCTCCACGGTCACGAAAGCGCGGGCTGCCCGCGCGCCCCAGCCAGGCTCCGCCCCCGGCCCCCGAGCCCGCTGCCCAATAGGTAGCCGAGGCCGTGCACGTCCCTCCTCCCTCCCACCTCCGCTCCCGGCCGGGGGCGCCCCCAACCCGGCTTCAGCCTGCGCGAGGCCCCCCCGCCCTTGCCCAGTACTCCGCTCCGTCTGTGTGCTCCGGGATGGCGGGTTACCTGAACGCTGTGCGCTCCCTAGGCAGAACCTCCTCCTCGGTCCTGGGCAGAACCCCAGGGGCCTTGGCCCCGGCAGCCCTGAGCCTGCAGGGAGGGCAACCACGCCGCAACTGTGAGTGGCCCAGGCGGCGTTCCTGGACCCGGGGCCACGTAGGGCCCAGGGCTGGGTTGCAGTCGGGCTAACCCAACTCGGGGACGTGGCGGCTTCCAGAGGGAGGGTCTGCGGGTCTTAGAGCGCACCACGTTGGAGGGGTGGGGAGAGCAGGGTTGGGTGCACATCGCGCCCACCTCGAGAGGGGTGAGGGGCGAGTGTGGCTGGTCCGAGAGCCGGCGGCAGTGAACTTGGCCTGTTGACGGGTGTCAGACAAGGTCGGAGGTGGGGGGGGGGAGGGCCGTGACACAAAGGGATCGCAACGCTTTGCGGAGTTCTGCTTTCAACTCCACCATGCTTTCTACTCCTCACCCCCCCCTTCTGTTCTCCATAACCTTGCCCCATAACGTAGGGGGTGGGAACTTGACGGGCAGCAGCAACTGGTGTCCGCTGGTCCAGGCTCTTAGTGCCAGGGTCAGTCTTACTCTACCCCCCCCCCTACATCTGCGTTCCTTTCAGCGAGGACCTTAGTCCTTAGGGAGGCAGGCACGCAGGCAGTGTGGTGAAGTGGAAGGGGTTCTGTATTTGAGTTAGGACCTGGGTTTGAATTCTGGCTTTGCCAGTTGTTACTTTTGGGTTCTCTGACAAGTCACAAATCTTTCTGGGTTTGTTTTCTCATCCGTGAAACGAAGTGGTTGGGCTAGATGACCCCTAAGGCTAAAAATTATGATCCAGTGGCCTCCCACCTGGGGTACATGAAAGATTATGCTTTCTGTGCCTCCCTGGTTTAAATTATGGGTGCCTGAGCTCCGCAGGGAAGGTAGCTTCCCCCCCCCCCCCCCCCCCGCCTTACCCCGGGGAAAGGACTGGGGTGTGGTGAACAAGAAGTCAGGCGGGAAGCAGCTGCTGTTTGATCCCTAACAGACAAGCAGCACCCCCAGGTCCCCATTAACAACTGGGAGGACAGAGGGGACAGTCTCAGCTGCTACACAGACAAAGGCTGACTGGGAGCTGTGTTGTCTGCCTGTTTCCTCAATTCAGTTTGCAGACCTCTCTCTTCCCCTAGGAGAGCAGATTTTAGGCCCACGTCAGCTGCCAGCTGTTTCTGGGCCCTTTTAGTAGATGGCTACAGGAAGGTGGGGTGGTTTTTGTCTTTTCTTTTGTTTAAAAATTGTAGTATACAAAACTGGTATTTATTTAAGACTGACAGATTCCTTTTCTGGCCTTAGCTTTCATTTTCTCTTCTCCTGGCAGCCAACCATCCCTTTTTCTTTTACTGAGATATTTTACTTTAACTGCCTTACCCAGTACTTTCCTCCTTCACCGATCCTCTCTCTTTCCTCTGCTATTCTCTCTTCCCTCCCCCTTAACACACACACACAGAGCCCTCAAAGAATGTAGGCCTGCTGTTAGAAACTTATTTGAATGTGTCATAGGAGACCTGCAGTCTGTCCTACAGGCTACTTTCTTGGAAATCACTCTCATAGTCCCAAAAGAATTCTTATCTAGGTAGCCAGAAGTAAGGATAGGGAAGAGGGAAGAGCAAACCCTCTTGAAGAAAAATAGTACATTTCTTTTTACCTTCCACCCCCCCAGTCTCCAGAAAAGGAGACTGGGAAAGTCATTGGAACCAAATCTAAATTTCTCTAGCACTTTCCTAGGTCCTAGTAGTGGAAATAGTAAAAGGAACAAGTGGAGCCTTCTGGCCTCCATGTTAAGGAAACTCATGACCTTGACTTAGCCATTGAGCACTGGACTGTGAGCCAGAATGGGAAAAGGAAATGCGTTAGGCCTTACCTAGAGAAAAGAGGCAATATTTAACTGGGTGGCCCAACAGCTGACCAAAACTCCTGGGGGGGGGGGTTCCAGTCCCTGGAATATAGAGAAAAGGACATTCACACTTAAGGACTTTTCTGACACAGTATGGTCAGGTTTGCAATTCCAAACTGACCACCTCACATGTCCTAAATTCCCCCTTTTCTCAAATAAAAAGTGTCCTGTGGCACCATCCTCAGTAAAATCCAGTGGAAGTGGGAGAATTCCAAGATTATGCTTTCTTAAAGTATGAAGAAAATCTCATGCCCCAAAACCTCATATTCTAAACCCTAAATATAAGCTGCCAGACTATAAGCTGCCTAAAGCACCCCCACTACTCATTAAACCTACTTTCTGTTGGTTCTAGGAAGAAACAGAAAATTCTCTGGATTTAAAAAACCTTCATAACCTGGCTTTCTTACCTTTCCATTTTTCTTACGCTTCTCTGCCCTCCCTCCTACTCTGTGACCCAGTGACACTGGCCTTCTGGCTGTTCCTCGCACAAGACACATTTCCCATCTCCATGGCTGCCCGCTGAGCCTGGTATGCTCTTCTTACTCATCTCTGCCTCCTGACCTCCTAGTTGTTTGCATGCAGTCACCTCTATTGGAAAGTGAGCTCCTTAAGAATAAGAACTGTGTTTTTGCCTTTTTAGGGGGGGTGCATCCTGAGCTTTTAGCACAGTGCATGGCACATAGTAGGTAATCATAAATGCTTGTTCATTGATTGAAAGACTGAACAGTTGACTGACCATCATCAAGAAGTCATTATGATTAATCATTAAGGTAAAATTAGCAAAGTTCATTCAGTTCAACAAGTATTTATTAAGTGCCTGCTATGTGCTAGAAACTAGGGTTCCAAAGACAGTAACAGTTTCTGACCTCAAGGAGTTTATGTTCTACTAGGGTATCTTGGGGTTTATTCCAAGGCTTTGAGTTAGATGAGAAAATAACATTTGTAAATATATTTCTTATTGCCAATATCAAGAGACAGAATATTGGTGACCCAGTATTTTGTCCTTTCCCAGGTGTTTGGGACAGGTGTTTGTTTACAAAAGAAGTTACATCAGACTTGGAGTGAAGGTAGCCTGGTAGCAGAATATCATTTTCAGTAGACATCTGTTTCGTTTTGGCTAAAGGAGTTTGGCTAAAGGATTCAAGCGTTCATCTTTTTTCTGGATGTGACTTTATTATTTATTTGGTTAAAACAGTCCCATCTCTTTGCTGCATGATCATAGCATTGCTTCTTTCTAGTACTACAACAAAATACGTCTTGGATATGTATATAGCCCAGAACTGCTGCTTGAGACTTTACTGCTAAATTTAGAGAATTGCCTTTGGAAAGGAGGGGAATAGTTCAGCTTAAACTTAGACATAGAACTGTCTCCGGCACTTGTTTTCCCTGGGACTTCTTTTCTCACCCTGCCCCCTACTCTTCAGGGCCTCTCCAGCTTCCAAGCTTCTCTGATCACAGTGGTGATGTGGCTTAAGGAGAAGAGATGGCTCGGATGGGATAGGCAACAAATCCCCTTTTGTTCTGTGAAGTTTGGATTCAGTCAAAGGCCCACCCTTGAGGACCTAAAGGGCCACATGTGGTCTCGAGACCACAGGTTCCCCACCCCTGGTACATTTATGACCCACCCCTCACCTCAGTTCTCAGCTGATTTCCCTTTTGGATTACATCCAACAGATAAGGACAGCTGTTGCTTCACCAGTGTTGCTTGGTGTGATCACTCTGTGAACAGGAAATTTCAGGGAACAAATGCTCTCAGAGTAGGGACAGTTCATTCATTTCTTCACCAAACATATTTTTAAAAATACATTTTCATTGATGTATTTTCTTTTTATAGCAGCTAAATTTCCCCATGTATCCCTCATTCCTCCCAGAAATACAGAGAAACAAAGAAGGAAGCATTCGAACTGATGCAAAGTGAAATAAAGCAGAACCACAGAAATAACATAGGCCATGACTCCAATGTGAACCACAGAAAAACAATAAAAACTGAATTCAGAAAATTATAAGGACCAAGGTTGGCCCCAAAAAGGCTACATTGCTCCCCCCTCTTTTGCAGAAGTGGGGGACCACAGATGTGGCACGCTATATATAATGTCGGACTTTTTCTGATGTATATGATATGGGACACAAGGGAAAAGGAAGAAAATATTTAGAAATGTGGGTGGCATAAAGGTGACATAAAAACAAAAGTCTCAGTAAAAAATTTTAAAGAAGACATCGAGTGAATGAACAAGTTCAGAATGAATGAACTCAATTGCAGGCCTCTAAAAGGAAGTACTTCACTCCTCACCCATGATGGAATTTATGCACAGAGGTATCTACAATGAAGACAGGTAAAGATTGTATGTTATTCTCTCTGCCTCTATCCTTTCCCCTCTCCAATCTATCCTCTATACAACTGCTGTATTGATATTCCTAAAGCAAAAAGTCTATGTCACTGCCCTTCTCCAGAAGCTTGGTAAGTCCCATTATCTAACATTCATCACACACTTACCACTTTTTTTTTCTTTTTTCAGGCAATTGGGGTTAAGTGACTTGCCCAGGGTCACACAGCTAGTAAGTGTTATGTGTCTGAGGCTGGACTTGGACTCGGGTCCTCCTGAATCCAGTGCTGTATCCACTGTGCCACCTAGCTGCCCTGTCAATTAATATATTGAAAAAAAATCTGAAAGTATGTATGATGTTCCATACTTGTATATCTCCTGCCTCTGAAAAGGTATGGGAAGGATATGACTTCTCCTGTTTTTTCTTGGGGCCATGTCACCAAACATTTATTAGGAGCCTACTATGCTCCAGGCAACATGCTCGCTTGGTGCTGGGTGCTCGGGGTACAAAGACACAAGCAAAACTGTCTTTGCCTTTGAGGTGCTTACTACATTCTTTTGGGGGATTTGGGTGGGGATATACACAGAGAAGTAAATCTAGATAGATTACAAAGTAGATGTAAAATAAACCAGCTACCAGGAAAATTTTTAAAGCCTCTTGTAGAAGGTAAGACTTAATTTGAGGCTTAAATGGAGCTAAGGACGTTAAATGGTGACTGTAGGGAGGGAGCCAATTACAGATACAGGGAATAACAGAGATGGGAGATGGAATTCCATATATAGAGAACAGCTGGGAGAACAATCTGGCTGGAGCCTAATGTGCTTGAAGGAAAGTAACGCATGAAATTAAACTAAGCTGAAACCAGG